TTGAGGGAAATATTATATTTATTTATGTAGCCAATTAATAATTAAGGGGAGAATTAAATCAAAAGAATTATTTGGTAAAAATGTACATAATATAATTATCCCTTATAAAAGACAACAATTAGAGTATTTATTACAAAATGATGATGACAGGGGATTGGCACTGATAAATTATGCAGGGCAAATAAAATATCATCTTCCCCAACATCCTATATTAAAGTTTGTACAAAAAACAGACATAATATTTCCCTCATTAAAGAAACACCTATAGAAGATGCTATATTAATTTTCACAGATGGCTCCTCAAATGGAACATCTGTGGTTTACTCACCAGATAGACCACCTTTGATAAAAAGGTGTGAAAAATTTTCTGCTCAGCAGGCGGAGATTTCTGCAGTTATCATGGCAACAAAACATTATACTCAACCTCTTAACCTATATACTGACTCTAAGTATGTAGTTAATCTATTTCTGGCTATAGAGACAGCCCTACTCTCAGGAAGCTCAAAAATGTTGCCTTTGCTACAAAAATTAAAACAAACTATTAATAATAAAAGGGAAAAATATACATAGGACATATACGAAGTCATACTAATTTACCAGGACCTTTATCCTTAGGGAATAGAATGGCTGACTTGCTTACTAAGAAAATAACAATTAATAATGTCATAAAATTGGCTCAGCAAAGTCATGAACTACATTATCAAAATGCTTTAGCACTTAAAAAATGTTTAACATTACTAGAGAACAAGCTAGACAAATAGTAAAAAACTGTAATTATTGCCCAAAAGCTTATTATCCTCAAAAAATGGGTGTTAATCCTCGAGGGTTAAAACCTCAAGTCCTATGGCAAATGGATGTGACTCACATCTCAGAATTTGGCAGGCTTGCTTTCGTACATGTTACTGTGGATACATGCTCTCATGCTGTTTTTGCCTCGGCAAGAACAGGAGAGGCAGTCAAAGACGTTATTCAACACATGATTGCAAGTTTTATGGTATTGGGCATCCCAAAACAATTAAAAACTGATAATGCCCCAGCTAATACTTCAAATACTTTTAGAAAATTTTGTGATACATGGGAAATAAGACATATCACTGGTATCCCATACAATCCACAAGGCCAAGCTATTATAAAAAATACTCATCAAAATCTTAAATTACAATTGCAAAGATTAAGAGAAAAGGGACATTATTATTCACCACACCAATTACTTAATCATGCTCTTTTTACTTTAAATCATCTTAACACATATCAAAATAACTTAACCCCTATGCAAAAACACTGGGGGGAAATAAAAGTGTCAAATTACCCATAAGTTCTGTAAAAAGACCTCTTGTCGGGTCAATGGGAAGGGCCTGATGTCTTAATAACCTTGGGAAGAGGATATGCATGTGTGTTTCCACAGGATGCTAAAACACCCTTGTGGATCCCAGACTGACTCATCAAGCCCTTCAACCAAGTCCAGAAAAAAAAAAATCAAGGGGAGCTAAGATCTATAATACACAAACTACAAAAGCTGAACATGTCCCCCCCCCCTCGCAGGCTCGATCAACGCCGAAAGCCAGTCCGCACACCTGGGGACAAGTAAAAAAATTGACTCATAAAGTGGAAAACATTATGGCCACAGCAGGGCAACCAATCACAAAAAAATATATTTCTTGCTATTCTGACAGTTTTGACTGTACAGGTATTGGGCTTATGTTGCATCTGGGAAATTTTATTCGGCTTATGTTCCCAATCCTCCTCTCCTACACCCAGTGGGATGGGGAGATGAACCACAAGTTAAGATAGTGACTAATAACACCAGTTATTGGGTGGTTCTAAAGATTTTAGAACTACTCATGTGACTTCAACCACATTAGATTATAAAAAAATGTCTAATACTACTCCTATTTGCATAGCTTTAAAAGGGAAAGTGCCTCCAGGATGTTTGCCTATTAACTATAGAAACTTCTATACTGATGCTCCTGATTGCAGCTCTGATTCTGGTAAAAGATTAATGTGGAAATTGGGGGTGATAACTTTGGGGTATCACACCTATAATAAAACCTTTTTAGATCCTGATATTGACATGCCTTTAAAAAACTGTCTTCAAAAGTATCATAATAAAGATCAATTTTGGAATTCCCTTATCACTTATCCAAAATGGCTAAATTGTGGGTTTTCTTCTAAAGTATCTAAACATCAGCCTCTAGGGTCTAAGGATTCTATTTATGATTTCTCTATACCAAATCCTGATTATAATTATACTAAATATTTAAAAAATAAAACAAAAAAATTTAATGGATTTATTCCTAATACTCTGGGAGAGCCAGTCAAAAGATAATATACGCCAGGATGGGCGGCGCCTGTCTATGTGAGCCACTCGCCTAAACATGATAAAACGGACATTTTTCCGAGTCTCTTCCGGCTTTTTGCTGCGGCAAACATGTTGCTACTCAAGAAACCCAAAAAAAAAAAAAAAAAAAAACCATATCTACCTCAGTAGGGGTAAGAGCGTGTATTAATATCCGTATAAAATATTGACAAAAACCCTAATAATATCAACATAACCAATTATAAAAAAATCATACCATATAAATTGTATTAATTGTGTTTTTACAAATTGTCTTACTTCTGCATTAGACAAAAATCATTCTGTAATAGTACTCTTAAAAAAACCAAGTTTTGTTATGCTTCCAGTCGACCTTGAGGAAAATCCTTGGTATGATAATTCTGCTTTACAAACTTTAAAAAAATCTTAGTGAGCTTATTAGACCTAAGAGATTTGTAGCTGCTTTGATATTGGGTATAAGTGCATTGATCTCCATTTTGACCTCACTTACTGTTTCTATTGTAGCTTTGGTAAAAAAAGTCAGAAAGGCACATTTTGTAAATAATCTCAATAAAAATATTTCTTTAGCATTAGCGAATCAATATAGTATTAATCAAAAATTAAATATAAAATTAAATGCTTTAAAAAAGTAGTGCTAGCTCTAGGACAGAAAGTACAAAATTTAAAGGTACAGCTCTCCACAAAATGTCATACAAGTTTTAAGTTTATTTGTGTAACTCCATTACAATACAATTCGTCCTTAAATTAAAATACTACCAAAAATCGTTTGTTAGAAATATAAAAAAATACAAAAATATCACACGATATAAAAGATTTACAAGAGCAAATAACTTCAGTAAGTAAAGCTCATTTAAATAATAAAAACATAAAAATTCTAGCACAATCCTTAAGGAATAATATTCAGTCTCTCAAGCCTTTTAATTAAATGCATAATTTAATTACTATAAAAATAATTGTTGGAGTCATTCTACTTATTCTTTTTCTGCTTCCAGTCATCTTCAGACTGATCTTCACTTCTATCTCTTCTCTACGCCGAGAAGCACACAAAATTCATTAAAAAAAAAAATTGTCATGCTGTCTCCAATGGAGTCCTCGTGAGATCCTCCACAGGTTGAGGCTAAAGCTTCAAGAAAGGTTGCCTCTTGAAACTGACAGTGCAAAAAAAAATCTTCAGTGTACTTGGCTGTATTTTGCTTGCTATTATCTTTATGACTGTCATTCTTTTATGGGTATCTAGGGGACATGGACAGGACTTGGTGTCCTTGGCTTGGCTTCATGGCTCGCCTCTTGATCAAAACCTTAATGTTGAGGATAAGGTCCTAGGAACTCGGTTTCCTCAGATGACCTTGTCTCCTGATGCACCTTTACTGCTTAAAGCTATAATAAAAGCTGCTAAAAATAATCAGCCATAAAATATCATGGACAAAATAAAACAAACAGAGCTAATGTTAAAAAATCCTAAAAATGATATATTTCCTACAGGACAGACAAGTAAAAAAAAAAGACCCTAATTCTGGTACTAGAAAAAAAGCTACCACCAACTGTTATGAGCAGTAATGGCAGGACCGAGAATCTCCTAAAACCGCCACTAGCAAAGAGAGAATCTTCGGTGTGAGAACAGTAGGAAAAGGCTGCAGGCTGCAGGAAGGGGCTTGTGAGCATGCCCAGAGGGAGGGGGACATGAGGAGAGAAATGATGGAGTTATGTCAGACAGACTGTGTGGTGAAGGTGAGAGAGATACAGAGAGACAGGGGACAGAAAGACAGAGAGGAGAGATATTTAAGATTAAAACAGTTTTGTGTATTTGTGTGTGTGTGTGTGTGTGTGTGTGTGTGTGTGTGTGTGTATCACACAGAACATCCCCTCATGGAGGCCAGAAGACGGTGTCAGATCCCCTGGAGCTAGAGTTATAGGTGGTTGTGAGCCACCAAAAAAGAGTGCTTTGAACCAAACTCGGGTCCTTTGCAAGAGCAGCAAATGCTCTTAACCACTGAGCCGCCTCTCCAGCCCAAGATTTTGAATTAAAAAAAAAAATCAAAGACACCCATGTTCTTCCTCTACATCTGCACCTATCCCTCAAGATTCATCTAGCAAAGACTGCAGTTTACTGTCTTGACAGAAGAGGGCATTCTTGAATTAATTTTTTTCCTTATGGCGATCAAGAACACCGTTTAGAAGTGATATTTGGGAACTCTTATCTAATCCCTGAAAGATTTTAGGGTTACCTCTTCAGAGGGGGGAATGTTAGAGTAGCAAAAAGCCCCATTAAAAAGAAAGAAAGAAAGAAAGAATGAACGAAAGAAAATATACGAAGTTGTCAGAAAACAGTGGTGGGGAGATATGGGAGGTGTTGGAGTGGGCATGGACTTGAGCAAAACACCTTATATGCGTGTACGAAATTCTCAATAAAGATTTTTTTTTTTTAAAAAGAAGTGAACTAGCAGCCGGGCGTGGTGGCGCACGCCTTTAATCCCAGCACTCGAGAGGCAGAGGCAGGCAGATCTCTGTGAGTTCAAGGCCAGCCTGGTCTACATAGTGAGTTCCAGGACAGCTGGGGCTACAGGGAAACCCTGTCTCAAAAAGACCAAAAAAAAAAAAAAAAAACCAGTGAACTTAACATGCAAATCATCCAAAAACAGCAACCTAGTTTTATAAAAATACATACCACACAAATAATCTTTAATTTTTTTTATTCATTTATTTTTATTTCATGTGTATGAATGCTTTGCCTGCACGTTTGTAAGTGCACCCATATGCATGCAATGCTCACAGAGTCCATACGAGGGTGTTAGATCCCCTGGAACTGGAGTTACTGATGCCATGTGGGTGCTAGGAAATGAACCTGGGTCCTCTGCAAGAGCAGCCAGTGCTCTTTAACTGTTGATCCATCTCTCTACACCTAGATTATTATAATTTTTTGAGACAGGGTCTCACTATGTAGCCTTGGCTGGCCTGGAACTCACCATGTAGACCAGGCTGGCCTGGAACTTGCAGTGATCCATCTGTCTCTGCTTCCTGCGTGCTGGGATTAAAGGTGTGTTCCATCATACCAGGGCTCTCTTAGATTTTCTTCTGTTAGAGGTTTGACAGAAGGTCTGGCATGTGCCACGCAGGTAATCCATCACTGAACTTCATCCCCAGTCTCTCTCATAGCTTCTTTGTTTATACATTTTGAAACAGAGCCTTAGAGCCTTATAAGTATCCCAGGCTGGCCCTGAACTTGCTATGTAGCTGAGGATGACCTTGAACTCCTCATCTCCCCCCTTCCACGTCCTGGTGTGTGCCACCACACCTATTTCATGTTGTGCTGGGCTGGATATGAAACCTAGGGCTTTGTGCATGGGAGGCAAGCACTCTACCAACTGAGCTATAGCCCTAGTCCCTCTCAAAGGTTCTTAACGGACATCTGATCAAGTTTTCACATTATCTTCCAAATCTTCATTTCTCTGACCGCAGCCTAGAAGTTATCAAAAATAGTGCAGTTGAGTGAGGGTGGGGATGGGGCCCCAGGGCTGTACCCTTTCCTGTGATGGTATCATGTGACATCCTGGTGACAAAGGGCTCTTTCTTCCAGGTCAACCACTCTATGTACTGCTGTCTTTCTTCTTGCTGAGTCTGGGCACAGCTATGGCTCGTGCCTTCACCATGTTCTACCTTGGTGAGTTCTGGACTGCACAGAAAATGAGGGTGACTGGTCTTCCAGGTCTGGCCTCTGGTTTCGGCTGCCTGTCTCCTATTTCCCCTCCATGTCCATCCCCTCAGATTTCTGGACTGAGCCTGAGGCTCTATCATTGACCTCTCTCTCCTGTCTTTCAGGATTGAGTCTGACCCTCATAGTCATCAAGAATGGTGAGTCCATCTCCTGGGTACCCTGAGGACTTCTCCAAGGTAACTCTGATCTGGTTTGACCAAGAGAGCTAGAGCTACCTGAATATCAGTGTCTCGCGCGGAGGCCAATACCACCCAATTAGAGTTGGTGCTGTTTGACACCCCCACCAGTATGGCTATTGTTATAGCCTGACTAAGACCTGAGAGGCCCTTTGCCCTCCCAGGACCACATGGATGGCAGGGGATGCTTGAAATACTCCAGTAAGATTGAGGAGCGCTGAGACAGGCTGGCATAGGAGGTGCGGATTTGCTAGCCAGGCTGCTAGCTCATCTTGACCATCCTCCCCCTCTGGGTTCCTCCAGGGATGCCTACTTACGGGGTAAGGTACTCTTGCTGTTAAGGCAGATGCAGATGGAAATCCCAGCTTCACCCTCTGCAAGCTGTGCTGCCTTAGCTTAGTTCTCTAATTGGGTCCAGAACCTGCATTTTTATGATGGGTTGTACCATTTGGATGGTAGTTGTAATACTCATCATTACATGCGATTTTTTTGATTTCTTAAAAAAATGTGTATAAGTGTATTGCCTGCATATATTTAAGCGCACCTGTGTCGTGAAATGCCCAAGGAGGTCAGAAAAGGGTGTTGGATCCCCTGAAACTAGAGTTAGGGTGGTTGTTAGCCGCCATGTAGGTGCTGGAAATCGAACTTAGGTCCTCTGCAAAAGCAGCCAGTGCTCTTAATCACTGAGCCATCTCTCCAGCCCCGCATGTAGCAATGAGGCAGATAGGGTTGGTGGTCTGGATTGCTCTAACAATCCAGAAAGGGCCCAGTACATCAGGGTCATCATGATGGTTATTGTCGATGTCTGCAGCCCAAAGCTATCTCAACCAAAAGTTTCTGACCAATATTCTTTTTTTTCCACCTCTTTTCTTTTCTTTCTTCTTTTCTTTTCTTTTATTCATTATTGGAAATTGAGCTGAAGGTCTCATGCATGCTAGGCAAGGGCTCTAATTCTGTTCCCTGCCTCTAGCCCCTCACTGGTGGATTCTAGGCAGGTGCTCTACCACTAAGCTACATTCCCAGGCCTTTGTTTTCAGATTCTAGACAGGCACTCCACCACTGAGCTATAACCTCACCTCTCGTTTAACTTTTCACATTGAGACAGGAACTCATTAAATTGCCCAGGTTGATCTTGAACTCACTTTGTAGCTTAGAAAAGCCCCAAACTTCCAGTCTTCCTGCTTTTTTTTCAATCTTTTTTTTTTTGGCTATTTTTGAGACAGGGTCTCCCTGTAGCCCCAGCTGGCCTGGAACTTACTATACAGACCAGGCTGGCCTTGAACTCACAGAGATCTGCCTGCCTCTGTCTAGCTTTAGCTTTCTTGGTAGTTAAGATTATAGGCTTGTACCCCACACTCAGCTTTCTTGACAAGTTGTAACTCCAACTCATTTGAAATGAAGTTTTTAAAAAAACTTTGTTATTTTTATTTTATGTGGTATGAGTGTATTTGCATTTTATTGCATTTTATTAAACTGCTCTTGCAGAGGACTTGGGTTTGATTCCCAGCACCCACATGGTGGCTAACAACCATCCATAACTCCAGTTCTGGGGGAATCTGACACCTTCTTCTGACCTCCTCAGGCCTTGCATGACATGGTTGCACTTACACACATGCAGGCAAAACACTCATACACATAAAATAAAAATAATAAATAAAATATTAAAAAATTGCATATTCATGAAAAAAATCTACTACTGGGCACTTGTGAACTCTGTAAACATGTAGATCATGTATAATGAACTCACACAGAGGCTTGAAATTGTTATGGGTGGAAATTGACCAAAATAAAAGCTGATGTATAAGGGGATCCATTTCTTGGGTGTCTGGAGAAGAGTGCCAGGATATAGCTGTGGGTTTCGGCTATGGGAGACAATACACTTCATTATTTGGTGGGGGTAGGGGTTAAGCGTGAGAATGTCGGATAACTGAGCTAGTGACCTGCTATTTAGAGTAGTGTAGGCAACTATCTGCAACTCACTGAACACATGAAGCATTCCACTAGGTAATAGGAAACTTTCAAAACTGTGGGAAACTGAGTTTGGGAATAGGATTTTGCTATGGGAGCATGGGACACCATTCAAAGACTCACTGCCAGGCAGGCAAAGATTAGCCTTAGAAATCAGTCATTAGGCAGTCTTAGTTCTCTATGTGAATAGTTATTGTTATATGTCACCTTGTAAGAATAACTACAATGTGACATTTATTAAAAGTTCACTATGCTTCATCCAGGTGTGGAGGCACAAGCCTGCAAGCCTAACACTTGGGAAGTAGAGGTAGAAGAATCAGTAATTCAAGGTCATTCTTGGATTCAAAACCAGCCAGGGCTCCATGAGCCCCTGTCTCAAAAAACAGTTTACCACTTCTGGCACTGTTTCAAGCCCATTGTAGGGAATTATCTCATTTAATTGCTGTGTCATTCTTTTCATTTTAATTAACTAGTTAATTATTTTTGTCTTTTGAGACAGGATCTCCCTGTAGCCCCAGCTGGCCTGGAACTTGTTACGTAGATGAGTCTGGCCTTGAACTCACAGAGATCAGCCTTTCCCAAGTACTTGGATTAAAGGCATTCACCAACATGCCCAGCTCTTATTAATTAATTTTATTTTATCTTATGTGTATGAGTGTTTTGCCTGTACATGTATGAGTGCACCACGTGCATGCAGTGCTTGTGGAGACCAGAAGAGGGAGTTGGAGCCCATGGAACTAGAGTTATGGATGGTTACTCTCTGCCATGTGGATGCTCAGAACTGAACCTGGGTTCACTACAAGAGCAGCCAGTGCTGTTAATGCTGAGCCATCTCTCCAGCCCATCTGTGTCATTCTTATGAGATACTTAGCACTTCTTTTAATTTTTTATTTATTTTTATGTATGTGTATGTGTGTGCATTTGGGTGAATGTATGTGACATGTGTGGGTACCCATGGAGGCCAGAAGATTGTGTCAGATCCTCTGGAGCTAGAGTTACAGTGAAATTGTAAGCTACCTGACATGGGTGTTGGGGTTTGAATTAGGGTCCTCTTGAAGAGCAGCAAATACTCTTGATTACTAAGCCATCCCTCCAGGCCCATATTTTATGTCCTTGTTGATCGCTTTTTTTGAGACAGGGTCTTATGTGTTCCAGGGTAACTTCAAACTTACTACGTCACCAGAGATGACCTTGAATTTTAAGTTTTATTTGAAAAACTTATTATTTATTTATTTATTTATTTATTGTTTATTTATTTTATTGTGTGCATACCATGGAATGTTTATGGAGGCCAGAGGACCACTTGCAGAAAAGGAGTTGGTTTTCTCATTCTACTGTGCAGGACCTGGGGATCGAACTCAGGTTGTCAGGCTTAGCAGCAAGCACTTTTACCTGCTGAGTCATCTCACCGGCCTTGACCTTATACTTCTTCTTTTTTTCGGTCCTTTTGAAACAGGGTCTCCTTGTAGCCCCAGCTGTCCTGGAACTCACTCTGTAGACCAGGTTGACCTCAAACTTAAAGAGATCCACCTGCCTCTGCCTCCCGAGTGCTGGGTCTGAAGGCGTGTGCCACCACACCCCGCGACCTTATACTTCTGACCCTCCAACCTCTGCTTCCCAAGTGTTTTCTGAGAAGCCATACTCACCCACACAATTCAGTCTGTTACAATTAGATGCAGGAATGTGTATAAACTTGTAACTACCCCCAAAGTTGAGAAGTTTACATGGGGAAAAGGCAAAGATGTCTGGCTCAGGGAGAGGCTCCACACCAGCCAGCCAGAGCCTGCTGAGATGGGCTTTATTGTTTTTCCAAGAGCCCCATCCTTCCTCCTACCTAGCTGGCTCAGGTCCTCACATCCAGCTGCAAGCCTTCTACTTATCTTCCCCAGAATTCCAAACTTGCTGTCTTAAACTCTAGCATTTCTTTCTTAAAAACTGACTTTTTTGATTCATTTATTTTTATTTTATGTGTTGCTTGCATATATGTAAGTACATTTATATTGTGCAATGCCCATAGAGGCAAGAAGAGGGTGTCGGATTTCCTGGAATTGGATTAGGGATGATTATTAGCTGTTATGTGGGGGCTGGGAACTGAACACAGGTCCTTTGCAAGGGCAGCCAGTGCTCTTAAACACTGAGCCATGTCTCTAGTTCCTTTTCCATGTCTCTAGTTCCGGGCGTGGTGGCGTCCGCCTTTAATCCCAGCACTTGGGAGGCAGAGGCAGGCGGATTTCTGTGAGTTCAAGGCCAGCCTGGTCTACATAGTGAGTTCCAGGACAGCTGGGGCTACAGGGAGACCCTGTCTCAAAAAGACGCAGCCTATGCCATGTATGGGAAAAAAATTGCAAGAAGAATGCAAAACTAAGTTAGACTCGGGGAACTGGAGCAGATGCCAGCAACAAGCCTACTGCTGTGCAGTGTAACAGCAGTGCCTGCAACAAAAGACACGTTAATAATTACCTAGATATCAGGAACACATAGGACACAATCTTATCAGACTCAGTCCGAAAACCATACAGCAGTCAGAATGCTATTAAACGAAGCTAGGTGTGTGTGTGTGTGTGTGTGTGTGTGTGTGTGTGTGTGTGCGTGTGTGTGTGAATCAGGTGACGGCAGAGACGGGCAGCTTCTACCTTTACCCCATGGAGAGACCGAGGCAGAGGAGAAGTTCTTAACCACAGTCCCAGAGACAAGAAATAGCAGTTAGGATTCAAACCTGGGGAGGGTGAGTTGATCCACTGCCCAGCTTTGTCTGACTGTGGGAGAGCTTCCCAACCTTCTGAGCCTCCTTGAGGAAAGAGCAAAGGGCAATTTCCTGGTAACCAATAGTCCGTGTTTTTTTTTTTTTTTTCTTTTCATGGCTCCTGACTGGCCTTAAACTTGCTATGTAGTCTAAAATGACCTTGAACTTCTGTTCTCCTCTCTCCAGGAGTTTAAGTGGTGCTGAGGATAGAACACAGGGTCTCATGCATGCTCTGCAAGAACTCTAGCAATTGAACCCCAGCCCCAGCTCCATCTAGCATTCTGTAACTCAGTCTTCTCTCTTCCAGCGACTCTTCCCCAGCTGTCCATCCGGGCAGTACCGGTTCCTGTGGTTGCACAGGGAAGTTCCCTCTCCATCTTCTGTAGAGGATCTTCAGGGACAAGTCAGTATCTCCTGGAGCAAGCAGGCAGCTCTCTGGTGTGGCAGAATAAAACCCCACAGGACTTCCAGGATGAGGCTGAGTTCTTCTTCCAAAATGTAAACTCTAGCCATGCAGGATCTTACATCTGTTGGTAAGAGAAGCATTCTAACTGGTCGGAGAGGAGCAACCCCCTGTAGCTGAGAGTCACAGGTGAAGTGCTCACAACCTTGCTCTTGTCTCTGGGTCCCTGCTCCAATCCATATCACCACTCTGTCGCCTTCTATCACTAATTCCCTTCCTCTTCACCATTAAGACAGGGTCTCGTGTAGTCCAGGCTGAGCTTGAACTTCCTATGTAACTGAGGCTTGACCTTGAACTTCTGATGCTGTTGCTTCCACCTCCTGAGTGCTGCAATTACAGGCATGGCCCCCCTCCATGCCCAGTTAATGCAGTGCTGAGGGTGGGACCCTGGGTTTTGTGCAGGCTACGCAAGCCCACTGCCAACTGAGCCACATTCCCACCCCTTGCCCGTGCACTTTTATTGCTGCCGCCTGTGGCATCTCCCTGGACGCCAGGGCATGAAATATCTGGGGAACTGTGTGTACTTCCCATGGGTCTTCTCAGTCATCTGAGTGATCAGCTCCCTGGAAAAAAGGACTAGAATCTGGGTCTTGAACAGGTGAAGACAAGCAAGGGAGTTTCCTGAACCACTGTAGTCCTTCTGGAGAGTGACTCCTGGACCAGACCACCACCACCATCACCTCCACCACTGCCATCATCATCATCATCATCATCATCACCATCACCTCCACCACCACCATCACCATTACTATCACCTTTGCAATCATCATCACCACCATCAGTACCACCACCACCTTTACTACCATCACCACTACCAGCATCACTACCATCCCATCTACCATCTCTACCACTATCAACACCATCACCAGCACCTCTACCACCATGATCATCAGGAGCTTGTAATATGTGAAGGTACTTCTACAAGTTCTGAAGACTCAAAAGCAGATGCTCACCAGAATGTACATACATGCATGGGCCTTGAGACAAAATTCTAAAAGGCAGCAACAACACGTATTCATCAACGAATGAATGGACAGAGAGGTGTGGACAGTGCAGGATTTGTCCATTAAAAGGAATGAAGTATCAACACGCCCTGCAATGTGGATGATCCTTGTAGTGAGCTATATATGTAAAGGGAGGCAGACACGAAAGATGATGTGTGATTTTGTTCATACAAAACACCCCGAACAGACACATCATAGAGACAGAGAGCAGATTAATTGTTGACAGTGACCACTTTATGGGTACAGGGTTTTCCTTTTGGGTCATGAAAACATGTTTAGATTGCAGAGGGCAGTGTTTGTACACTACTGTGGGTATACTAAACGCTGCTTTAAAAAGGTTAAATTTTCTCCCCTCCCCCTCCTCTTCTCTCCCCTTCCTTTTCTCCTTCCCTCCCCCCTCCTCCTCTTCCCCCTCCTCCTCCCCCGCTCTCCCTCCTCCCCCCCTCCCTGTTGCGCTCCCTCACCCTCTTCCCATCACCTTCTTCTGATTCCTGTCCCTCTCTAATTCTCTCCTCTTTTATTTCAGACAGGGTCTTTCTATGTAGCTTACTGTCTTCAAACTCATGATTTTCTTGACTCAGCCCTCCAAGTGTTGAGATTAGAGGCATGTGCTGGTGTTAAAATGGTTATTTTTTTCTGTGGTACTAGGGATTGAAAAAAAACAGTAAAAAAATTTCTACAGTTTTTGTTTTATTTTTAAACTTTAATTAATTTTTAATTTCTTTTTGAGACAGGGTCTCCCTATAGCCCCAGCTGGCCTGGAACTCAATACGTAACCAAGCTGGCCTTGAACTCACAGAGATCTGCCTGCCTCTGCCTCCAAAAGGCTGGGATTAAAGCTGTGCACCTCCACACCCGGCATTTAAAATTTTTGAAAAGGAATTTCATACGTGAGTACTGTATTTCCATCATGTTCACCCACCCCCATCTCCCCTCTAACTCCCATGCCCACCCACTCTGTCTCAAATTCATGGCCTCTTATTTATTATTATTATTATTATTATTATTATTATTTTGTGTGTGTGTATGCATGAGTGTGTGTGTGTATGTGTATTTGGGCATGTGTGTGTGTTTGGGCATATGTGTGTGTGTTTGGGCATGTGTGTATTTGTGTGTGTTCGTGTGTGTGTGTTTGGGCGTGTGTGTATGTTTGGATGTGTGTGTGTTTGGGCGTGTGTGTGTGTTTGGGCGTGTGTTTGTGTGTGTGTGTTTGGGTGTGTGTGTGTGTTTAGGCATGTGTGTGTGTTTGTGTGTGTGTGTGTTTGTGTGTGTGTTTGGGTGTGTGTGTGTGTGTTTGGGCATGTATGTGTGTTTGGGCATGTGTGTGTTTGGGCGTGTGTGTGTTTGGGCATGTGTGTGTGTTTGGGCATGTGTGTGTGTGTTTGGGCGTGTGTGTGGGCGTGTGTGTGTTTGGGCGTGTGTGTGGGCATGTGTGTGTTTGGGCGTGTGTGTGGGCGTGTGTGTGTTTGGGCGTGTGTGTGGGCATGTGTGTGTTTGGGCGTGTGTGTGGGCGTGTGTGTGTTTGGGCGTGTGTGTGGGCATGTGTGTGTTTGGGCGTGTGTGTGGGCGTGTGTGTGTTTGGGCGTGTGTGTGGGCATGTGTGTGTTTGGGCGTGTGTGTGTGTTTGGGTGTGTGTGTGTGTTTGGACGTCTGTGTGTTTGGGTGTGTGTCTGTGTGTTTGGGCGTGTGTGTGTGTTTGGGTGTGTGTGTGTGTTTGGGCGTGTGTGTGTGTGTTTGGGTGTGTGTGTGTGTTTGGGCGTGTGTGTGTGTTTGGGCGTGTGTGTGTGTTTGGGCATGTGTGTGGGCATGTGTTTGGGCACACCCATCAGACAACAGTTTGTGAACATTGTTTCTTTCTTTCCACCATGTGGGTTCCAGGGATCAAACTGGTCATCAGACTTGTGCGGCAGGTGCCTTTATCTACTGAGCCATATTGCTCCTATTTCTATTAAAAATTGTCCTTTGACAATTTCATACATGTATATGATGTGTTTTGGCCATGTTCACCCCCATTGCTCTCTTGTATCCCCCCCTGACTCCCATTGAATTCTTTTTGCCCAACAAGTCCTATTCCTTTTTTTATTGTTTGTTTTGAGACAGGATCACCCTGTAGCCCTGGCTGGCCTGGAACTGGCTATATAGACCAGACTGGCTTCTATCTCACCGAGATCCTCTGGGCTAGGAATAAAGGCGTGTGCTGTGTCACCTGGCTTCATGTCCTTTTGTTTTTGTGACCCACCGAGTTTACTAGGATATGAGTGGAGTGTTACTTACTGGAATACAAGCAACTTACCAGTGACTCCACCAGTAAAGGAAACAATGCCCATTCCCTTAGTAATCATGAACTGCCAATAGCCCCCCAGGGAGTGATGGGTTATGGGAATTTCACCTCAGGTTAAAAAAAAAAAGAGTGAGGGGACTGGAGAGATGGCTTACTTGTTAAGAATACTGGCTGCTCTTGCAAAGGACACAGGTTCAATTCCCAGCACCCACATGGCAGCTAACAACTGTCCATAACTCCACTTCCAGGGGATCTGACGCCCTCTTTTGACCTACATGGGCATTGAATGACACGGGTGCACTTACATACATGCAGGCAATGCATTCATACACATAAAATAAAATAATAAATAAAATACTTAAAAGAGCGATGCAATGATTTGACTCCCTCCCACTCTAGTAGGTCAGAAACTCTGGGGGGAGCCCTCAGATACTTGTAATTGGGCAGGAGCCCTTCAACCCTTGTCTAGAGGAGGGTCTGCGCTCTTTCATGGCAGGAGAGAAGGAAACATGCCAACAGTTGCTGAGAAACCGCAGTTCTGGTACTGCAGGGGAAACAGGAAGTGAGAGGGCTTTGTGGGGCAAGTTTAGATGGCTCAGGAAGTTACTGTGGCCATCAGGCAGAGAGGCCCATCGGGTGAAAGATAGCCTTAGAAAGCTGCCAGGTGTCTGCTGTCAGATCCTAAATTTATGCCTGCAGCTGGGCCCTTCCTTCTGGGTAGTGTGGATTAGTGGTTCTCAGCCAGGGGGTGATTTGCTGCACAGGAGACATGTGTCAATATCTAGGGACACTTTGGTTGTCATGATTAGGGGTTGGAGTAACTGTGCACATTGTGGGTGAAGTCTATTATTATTTTTTTAAAAAATTGTATTCTCTCTCTCTCTCTCTCTCTCTCTCTCTCTCTTCTCTCACCCATGATGGTAAGAGGCAATTACAGGTGGTTGTTAGTCACCTGACATGGGTGCTGGGAATTGAACCCAGGTCCTCTGGAAGAGCAATACATGCTCTTAACCACTGAGCCATCTCTCCAGCCCCTTCAATGTGACTTGCAATCTTAATTTGCAAAGAGCTCTTCTTTAAAAGAGTCAAATTTATTTATTTTGACTGTTGCATGTGCGTGTGTGGGCACAGGTGTATGTGTATGTGGAGTACAATTTGCAATGGTTGGTTCTCTCCTTCCACTACGTGGGTCCTGGGGGTTCAAACTCAGGTCATCAGGTTTGGTGGGAAGCTCCTTTACCCACTGAGCCATCTTACCAGTCCAAGAGGTTTTCTTGCACATCTCTCCCACAGTTCCAAGCGACGCCGGAAGGATCTCCACTGCTGGATTTAGAAGGAGGAAGTTACCTACGATGTCTCTTTCTCCTCCTTCCTGCAAGGTCCCCTCAGAAGTACTTTTGCTTTTTTGGGTTCCACAAAAATACTGGATTTCCCTTCCATTTTGTTACCCTGATCACACAGATCCCCATTCTGTTGTTTCTTGTGTTTCTTGGTTGTTGATTTAGTTTCAGTTTTGTGATGAGCATCCATGAACACAGTGTGGTAGCTCATTCTCCCTGAGGCCCAAGGGAACCGCATCTGCAGGGATTCTCCCACATAGATATTTTCAATACCCATGACTTTATATGCTTGTCATCATGTGGGTCGTGATCCTCTGTGTTTTCATGTTGTATCACATGGTCAAGATTCATCTTGACTCAGTGATATTGTCATTCATTCATTTCTGTTGTCCCAACTTTGGTCTGGGCTCAGACCTGGCTCACACCTGACTCTGTGCAGCCCATGAAGTGCCTCATATGTACTAAGCATGCTGTCTACCACACCATACATAGTACCTCATAGATACACAGTACCTCATTCGTACTAAGCATACTGTCTACCACTGAGTTCTATCTGATTTGAAGAAACAAAAAAATAACGTGAAATTCAAGACTCAATGTTCATGAATCGGGTTTTATTGGAAACAGGACCATTTATTTATACATTGTTGATGATTGATTTCTTGCTAGAAGACCCAAATTATTTGACACGACAGAAACCTCATAGCCTGTAAAGTTTAAAATATTTGCTACCAGACACTTTCCAGGAAAGCTGACCATCTTTGTTCTGGAATGTTCCCTAGGATGCACAGCAGCTCTGCAGATGTGGCTTATTTCTACTAAGGGTTTTTTTTTCTTTGAGGCTGTGTCTCACTACATAGCCTGGGATGGAATGGAGATCACAATCCTCCTGTCTCAGGTTCTCAAGGGTTGGGATTCCAGGGTGTACCACCACTCTGGTTTATGTGCTGGGGATGGCAAGCACTCTTCCGTCTGGGCTATGCCCCCAACCCTCTGTGATTGCTGTTACCACTGTCTACTGATGTTTCCCTGAATGCTTAGCCGT